TTCGAAAAGCTCCTATTTTTCGTACAGATTTTGTTAAGCAGAGAAGTAGCAGGGCTTGATAAAAACACCTTGGCTTAAGCGATCCCACACCAAGTTTCCCAACTTTTCCTTTCCTGATGTACTTCTTGACCCACTCACTTTCTGGAAGCACTGTGTTGGCCTTGTGTGACATCCTGTAAGACTGTGAGAAATTGGGAGAAAGGGAGGAAGGAGAGGGAGAAGGGTGAGGCCTAAGAAGCAAAACCTCTCTACTTGCAGTAGTGGGGACTGAGGCATCTTCTCTCATAGGTCTTACTGAAGGCTGCTTCTAGGGGAACATGTCTATTTCAGAGATCACAGACCTACTATTCTCAGGCACTGAGTTCATGTCATAACCTGATAAAGCAGTTCTCAAGATGCAGCCTGCACCGTGTACTCTAAGGGTTCCTGAGACCCTCCCATGTGTCAAAACCATTTTCATAGTCATGTTGTTGTTGGGTGCTGTCGAGTTGTCTCCAACTCACAGCGACTTCATGTACAGCAGAATAAAACACTGCCTGGTTCTGGGCCAACCCCACGATCTTTGCTATACCTGAGCCCATTGCTGCGGCCACTATGTCAGTCCATCTCATTGAGACCTTTCCTTTTCGTTGCCCCTCCACTTTACCAAGCATGATATCCTACACCAGAGAATGGTCTCTCCTTACAACATGACAAAAATAGGTGAGATGAAGTCTGGGCATTCTCACTTCCAAGGAACATTCCAGCTGCACCTCTTCCAGGACAGATACATTAGTTCTTTTAGCAGTCCATGGTACTTTCAGCATTCTTCTCTAACACCACAACTCAAAGCACTGACTCTTCTTTGGTCTTGTTCATTGCCCAGCTCTCACATGCCAAACTCACTGCCGACTCCTAGCGACCCCTCCTTGGGTTTCCGAGGCAGTATCACTATGGAAGTAGATTGCCCAATCTTCCTTCCAAGGAGTGGCTGGTGGGTTTGAACCACCAGCCTCCTGGTTAGCAATCAAATGCATTAGGTACTACGCCACCAGATCTCCTTGTACACACATACGAGGCTACTGAAAATACCATGGCCTGCGTCAAGTGCACCTCAAGGAAGTATCTTTGGTCTTCTGCACTTGAAAGAGGTCCTTTGCAGCAGATTTGCCCTATGCTATACATTGTGTCAGTTGTAGAACCAAGTAATATGAAGTCTTTGACAACTTTAATCTTTTATCTATTTATCGTGATGCTTATAGGTCCCGTTGTGAGGATTTTCGTTTTCTTTATATTAAGCTGTAATCCATACTGCAGACTGCAGTCTTCAATCTTCATCAGTAAGTGTTTCAAGTCATCTTCACTTTCAGTGAGCAAAGTTGTGTCATCTGCATAATGCAGGTTGTTAATGAGTCTTTCTCCAATCCTGATGCCATGTTCTTCTTCACATAGTCCAGCTTCTCTGATTATTTTTTCAGCATACAGACTGAATTAAGTATGGTGAAAGGATACAACCCTGACACACTCCCTTCTTGATTTTAAACTATGCAGTGTCTCCTTGTTTTGTTTGGTCTATGTATAAGTTCCTCATGAGCACAATTAAGTGTTCTGGAATCCCCATTCTTCTCAATGTTATCCATACTTTGTTATGATCCATACAATCAAATGCTTTTGCATAGTCCATAAAACAAGGAAACATCTTTTTGGTATTTCTTGCTTTGAGACAAGATCTATCTGACATCAGTAATGATATCCCTCATTCCACGTTGTCATCTGAATCCAGCTTGCATTTCTGGAAGTTCTCTGTCAGTGTACTGCTGCAACAGTTTTTGAATTATCTCCAGTAAGATATTACTTGTGTGCAATATTAATGGTATTGTTCAGTAATTTCCACATTCTGTGGGATCATCTTTCTTTGGAATGGGTACAAATATGGATCTCTTCCAGTCAGTTGGCCAGGTAGCTGTCTTCCAAATCTCTTGGCATAACTGAGCCTCCAGTGGGGCATCTGTTTCTTGATACATCTCAGTAGGTATTCCGTCAATACCTGGAGCCTTGTTCTTTGGCAATTCCTTCAGTGAAGCTTCAACTTTTTCCTTTATTATCATTTGTTCTTGATCATATGCCCCCTCCTGAAATGGATGAAGATCTACCAGTTCTTTTTGGTACAGTGACTCTGTGTATTCTTTCCATCTTCTTTTGATGTTTCCTGCATCATTTAATACATTGCTCATAGAATCTTTCAATATTGCAACTCAGGGCTTAAATTTTTTCTTCAGTTCTTTCAGCTTGAGAAATGTCGAGTGTGCTCTTCCCTTTGGGCTTTCCAACTCCATGTTTTTGCGTATTTCATTATAATTGACTTTGTCTTCTCGAGATGCTCTTTGAAATCTTCTGTTCAGCTCTTTTATCTTGTCACTTCTTTCATTTGCTTTAGGCAAGTTTCAGAGTTTCTTCTGACATCCATTTTGGGTTTTTCTTCCTTTCCTGTCTTTTTAATGAGCTTTGCTTTCTTCATGGATGATGTTCTTGATGTCATCCCACAATTCCTCTGGTTTTAGGTCATTGGTTTTTAATGTATCAAATCTATTCTTTCAATCTGATTCTTGTGTACTTCATCTGGTGAAGTTCATGTGTATAGCCACTATTGTTGTTGAAAAAAGGTGTTTGCAAGAAACAAGTCATTGGTCTTACAAAATTCTATCATGCGATCTCCAGCATTATTTCTATCTCCAAGGCCTAATTTTCCAAATGCTGGTGATTTTTGTTTCCAACTTTTGCATTCCAATCACCAATGATAATCAGCACATCTTGAGTGCATGTTTGGTCAATTTCAGACTGTAGAAGTTGGTAAAAATCTTCAGTTTTCCTTATTTTTGGCTTTGGTGGTCGGTGCGTAAATTTGAATAGTAGTAATATTAACTGGGAGCTCAGGTGGTATAGTGCCTAAGGGATTTGACTGCTAACCAGAAGGCTGGCGGTTCAAACCCACTAGCCACTCCTCGGAAGGAAGGTTGGGCAATCTACTTCCGTAGTGATACTGCCTTGGCAACCCAAGGAGGGGTTGCTATGAGTCGAGTCCGACTCGACGGCATATAACAATAACAATGCCTAGGATATCAATGTTTATGCATTTCATTTTTGATAACTTCCAATTTTCCTAGACTCATACTTCATACATTCCATGTTCTGATTATTAATGGACGTTTACAGCTGTTTCATCTCATATTGAGTCATGCCACTTCAGCAAATGGAGGTCCTTAAAGCTCTACTTTATCCATATCATTAAGGTAGGCTCTACTCTGATGAGGCAGCTCTTTCCCAGTCATATTTTGAGTGCCTTCCAGCCTGAAGGGCTCATCTTCTGACACTGTATTGGGCAGTGTTTCAGGGCTATTCATAAAATTTTGCAGTAATACATCAGACAGTGTTTCACTGCTATCCATAACGTTTTCACTGGCCAATTCTTTGAGAAGTGGATGGCCTCTTCCTTCTTCTGTCTCAGTCTGGAAGCTCCACTGAACTGGTCCATTCAGATCATGGGCACCCCTGCTGGCACACCCTCCAGCCTCACAGCAACACACAAGCCACCACAGTACAACAGTCAGACTAGTTTGTCTCCCTTAGCTGTTCCAACTGCTCTGTTCAATTTCTGGGCTCCCCCTATCTGTTCTGTCCTTTGGCCCTGTCTGCAGCTGCCTCCTGCTGCCTAGGGGCTGACCCCACCCACCTTACCTGTACCAACCACTGGCCATCTGCTGCTGCCTCCTGGGGGCTGTCCCCTGCCCACCTTACCTGTTCTGGACCACTCTCTCTTCCTCTTTTTTCCCTTGCAAACTCCATGAAGAATTACATTTCCATTTGGGAGGTAGGTTTGTCAACTCAGGGTTACTACTGCACCTCACTCCCTGATCTACCACTGTAATCGAAGGGGCTTTTAAGAACAGATCAGGAGAACCAGCACAGCCCTTAACACGGGGAGTACAACTACTGCATGCCCTTGGAGGATTATCCAAGTAATTCACTTCTAGATGAAATTTACCTGTCACTACATTTGTACTCCAACCAAAACAAGTGAAAGCTTTATATCAGCATCAAGTCCATCACTAGGGGGGGGAAATATCTAGCTTTGAAACTTCTGGGTTCATATAGTCTATGGACTATATACAGTATTGTTCTGGGGTTCTCGTATCACAATTTAGTTGAATGACGCTATCAGAAGTTGAAATAATTAAGGTTGGTATTTGGTAAGAAACAGTGACTTCGTAATGATCTGCATCAACATGAAGAGGTGCAAGGCCACTCGTGAAGTTGGCTTGGAGTTCCAGTTCATGGTGGAATGGTCAACTCTTCAAGATACTCTTCAGGGTGGCAATTAGGCTATTGGGCAGATTTGTGGAATTCAGATTCAATGACAGCTTGAAACCAACAACAAGACCAAAGCATGAGAAGCCTTCTGCTTCAGCTGTCTTCAAGGAGACAAAATTCACAACCAAGACCACCACAGAAAGCTTTATTATCACAAGAGGAAATCAGAGAACACTGGAGGCCACTCACACTAGCGACAGCAGCATGTGATGTGTATTCAGGGAGAGGGGACAGCAGGTGGGAACCCTATCAATAATGTCTGGGTGTTTTCCCCACCAACAGGTGTGCTTGGCTATGGAGAGATTTGTTGGGCTTGAACCAGTGACCTGTTCTGTGTGTGGCTCAGGCAGGTCAGTTTCGCAGAGCAGGCTTCCTCCTGGACAAAACAAAGGACATGAAGCCAGAACCAGGGGCAATAACAGCTGCACAGACACTGCCATAAATGGTAATCAAATCAGGCCCATTACATCTTTAAGTGCATTTCACCCTGATCATAAACAAGCAGGAGACAGGGACACTGGGCTCTACTGGATAGCCTTTCTTTTAGATAAGATGCTTTTAAGAGTTAAAGATTGGCAGGGCCTTTCCCCTCACTAACTGGCAAGCAGCACACAATTTCCAAGCCAGCTTTTTAAAGCTCTTGTTAGCTGTTATTATCTGTTATTATTTGGATTTTGAACAAAGTTGATGGAGTAGGAGCCAGTAGAGGAATCCTGTTTGATCTGGAAATTTTCTGTGGAGAGTCCAAAAGGTCGGAGAACCAAGTTCCCAAGATCTTTTAGTTTACCTGCAATGGAAAAACAAAACAAAACACCAAAAAACCTCAAATGAATACAAGGAAACAAAAGCAGCAGGAAGAGCCCAAGTGATTTTGGCTTATGATCTGACCACAAAATACAGATAGCATCTTTCTGTGGGTAAATAAATGCTTTTAAAAACACAAAACCTTCCCAGTGTCTCTCCCCCACTCAGTGGTGCAGTTACTGTAATGCCACATATCTCTGAGCTGTGCTTGCACAGATCAGAAGTAAGGGAGCTCTGCTGCTCCTGCCAGGAGAGCAAAGCCTCCTGTCCAGAACTACCAAAGACACAGGCTTCTGGGATGAGTGATGAGAAAACCAATTGCTGCTCCCAGTGGGACTGGAGGTGCCACCAAGCCTCATCTGCCTGGCAGTGAGGGCCGAGGTTTCCCGAACAACTCTGTTCTCTACATAACAGCAGCAGCCACTTGTGGAATTTAATTCAGCAAATTTCTACTGAGCCTGAATTCAAACTCAGCCTCTTGCTTTGCTAAGTAAAGCTTTGGCCTCTACACTGAACTCATATCTTGGGAAAGGGGAGATCTTGTTCACTTGCATGGTGCCATCAATCACTTGAGTGATCTCATTCCTACAGGCAAAACTGAGACACATGGTACAGCCAAGGATATTTATGTTGTTTCTAGATATAAGAGGGCATGGAGTTTGTATGTCCGAAGTTGGAATTTAAAGAACATTTCACTGGTTTACAGTGGCTTATGGGGGCAATGAGATAAAATAGCTGAACTGTTTTGGAAAACAACTGTTTCTAAACTGTTTTACTCTTTCTTGCAGGTCTGCTTCCACTGGCGATGAGGGGGTAGCAATAAGTGCACACATCCACTCCTTTTAATTACCCATCTGAGTTGCCTCTACACTTGTTATGTGCCGTCGAGTTGGACCTGACTCATAGCGACCCCTCCTTGGGTTTCTGAGGTGGATCACTATGGAAGGAGATTGCCCAACCTTCCTTCCGAGGAGTGGCTGGTGGGTTTGAACTGCCAGTCTTCTGGTTAGCAGTCAAGTGCCTCCCACTCATTAACCACATTCCCAAACAGTGGTTGTTAAACTTGAGTGTGCATCTGAAACACCTAGAGAGCTTGTTAAGACCCAGATTGCTGGCCCCTCCTCTAGAATTTCTCATTCAGTAGGTCTGGGTACCAATACTTTGAGAACCAAAGAGATAACCTGGTTTTGCAGTTGATGGCTAGAATCTTGAGAAGTCTGATATTTAAAAAAACTAATGTAAAATGGGGAAAATGCAGACCAGAATTTAATGTTCTCATGGATTCCAGACTTTCTGTATCCATGGAAGCTTGATGAACCCCTAAAACTGTTGCCTTAAGATAATCTTTAAATCTTAAAGCTAAAACGTTGCCTGAGGTCTTCTTAAAACCAGTCAATAGTTACAGTAAAGAATGTCAGCCTTGAGCATTATGCTCCTTTAAGATCTATTTTTATGAGATCAAATGACAACAGCAACTTAAAAGATCAGATAAGAAACTTAGAGGGCAGTGAGTGTGTATGACTGGAGGAGGAGCAATTCAGAAAAGGACGGTGACAATGGCTGCACAACTTTGAGAATGTGATCTATGTCACTAAATTAAACATGCAGCAACTTGGTATATGTATTTGCTATGCATATTCTCAACAACAACAAAAATAAAATATAAAAAAACCAAACTAATTGTAAACACCTAATGATAATGTGAAAATGGAACTCAAACTGCCTGTATTACCTTTTCAAAAAAGAAGCAGATGACAAAGCAGGATGACAGGACATAAGGAAGTGTCATAAACATATACACACACCAATCCTTAGCAATTCCACTTACTTGAAAGATTTTTGGCTTGGTCAAGCATACAGGATCAAACAACTTACAATAATGACAAATGTCTTTCCTATTTGTAATCAAAGCTGAGTGTCTTTTTCCGAAACCTATGTTAGCATCAGCTGGCCTCCATGTACATACCTCTTACCCTCTCACTGTAGCTGCCAAGAGCAAATAGCTCTTCTCATCACTGTGTGTGTAAAACCAAAGCAGAGAGGAAGATACTCCTCCCTCCCCTGTAAGGTTAAACAGCCACACATTGTGAGGTGCTCTCAAATGCAGAAAATACACTAAGAGTTTGTCCTCAGTACCGACAGCTGAGCAGAGATGCTTTTTTGTTGTTGTTATTTGCCATCGAGTCGGCCCCAACTCACAGCGACCCCTCCTTGGGTTTCTGAGGCAGTATCACTACGGAAGCAGGATTGCCCAACCTTCTTTCCGAGGAGTGGCTGGTGGCTTTGAACTGCCAGCCTTCTGGTTAGCAGTCAAGTGCCTTAGGCACTGTGCTACCAGAGCTCCTAGAGATGCTTTGGGGATACTGAAAACATCCATCAGTTTTACTTTTAGATGATTTTTGACTATTTAGGTAAATGTTCTATGTGAACAAAAAATTTAACATTGTGAAATCCAAACAAATTGGGGCCCCCAATCCTAAATTCAGATTTTTTATGCTCTTCAAATTGGCCTGATTATTCTGATTTTAAATGATACATATTTGAACTTGTAAATGAAATTTATAGAAATAAAACAACACTTCTTTTTTTTTATAATGTGGTGCTACATAACAATTTTTTTTTTTAAACAAAGGGTTTCTACCGTTTTTTAGAAAATGGGAAAGTCACTAGGTCAGAACAAAGGCAAATAAGGGGGCATCAACGACCAGCACCATCAGTCACTCAAAGAAAGTTCTGAGCCTCTTGGGGTGCTATGTCCAGGGCATCTGTACCCACTCACCATACCACCAACTGGACCTGTAAGTCCTCTAAAGCCTTCTTTTCCCTGACTACGACAGCTACTGGCCTCATCATCCTAGAGAAAAAGACAAAACCAAACATTCCAGAGGTGGGCCCTTTTTTCCTGAAATCTGAAGCTACCAGGATCATCTTCGCTGGTTAACAAGGACTGTGGCACCAAGACTGATGGCCACCCTGGGTCTCCTCTCTTGCTCTAATGATGGTGTGTGTAAGTGACAGGCGAGGAAGGGAACAGCAAAATTAGTACTATCCGTTAATGATTCCCATTAGGATGTTCTTTCCAACAAAAAGGACATCAAATCACAGAGGGAAAAGAAAAAGCAAGTCAAAGAATAATGAACAATTAAGAGCCCACTCTTAGTAATTACCTAACTTACCATAACTTCTTATGTGCCCATGAAAAACAATGCTCAGCAGTTTTCTTTTTAACTGTTAGCCCTCTAGAAGAAGCTCTCATTCCCATAGGAACCTGCACCAAGCCATGCAGTTCACTACAAAAAGCTTGCTCAGAAATTCTAAGGAAGTGGTATTAATTTGTGCTGAGAATGTCTAGCCTCTAAGGATCTCAAAGCACATTAATCATGGTCACCTCATCTGTAACAGGGTGAGAAGAATACCAAAAAGCTTTTATGGGGCTAAACAGTCCAAGCAAAGAATGATTTCTTGCTTCTGGCTATCTGGTGCTGGGCACACTTAGAATTAATATTTTATTCATGATCTCTGTAGTCATTGAGAAATAACAGTCTAGACATTCGAAGTACTGACATGCAACAACAATCTGACACATTACTTACCAAGCAACTTAAATTGCTAAAGTCTGATGGGAGTTGACTTTAGACAAAAGCAACTGACGGAATAAATTCAGCTTGAATATTTCAAATTAAGTAAACACGCAAGTAAAACCCAAAGCCATGGAGACAGAAACTTCCACTTACTGAATTTTCAAAGATAGATGGGAGTTCTGATTCCATCAGGAACTGACAATGGCCAGCAAGACTCAATTTGCACCAAATCATGACACCCAGCTCAGCAGTCTATCATCACTAAATGCAAAGTTTTTTTTTTTTTTTTGCTAAATATAACAAATGTTAGAATAGGTGAGAAAATGCTCTTTACCCTCATCGTTGAAGAAAAAGTATCTCCAAAATTTTCTGCTCAAACACGATGTCAAGTTTAATTAAATATGTATATTGGGGAAAGAGTCATTTTTAGGAAAACCTGAAGAAGGCTCTGAGAGTTCTGGTGGCGTAGTGCCTAAGGGATTTTTGACTGCTAACCAGCAGGCTGGCAGGTCAAACCTACCAGGCCACTCCTCGGAAGGGAGGTTGGGCGATCTACTTCCCTGGTGATACCACCTCAGAAACCCAAGGAGGGGTCGCTGTGAGTTGAATCCAACTCAGTGGCAATCTGTTTGGCTTGTGTTTTTTTTTTTTTTTTTTAAGGAAGCCTCCAGAAACACTCCAAGTTTAAGTAGCTTTCTTTGGAGTCTGAGTGTATCCAACAAGGTCCAGAAGTTCTGGACAGTCTAGGCTAATGGTCTCCTCTCAGTCAGCTCTGCTATCAGAATGAACCTTTGGAAATCTGTTTGCATTCTCTGGATATTAATGTCTGAAGGCCAGACACATCCAGGGCTATCCTTTAAGACTAAGTGTTGTAATATACCTAACTCCTCATGTATCAACTATCTTGTTCTCCAACATTGCGTATATACAATAGTAAAAAATTTACTATCCAACTGTTGTGCACATTAACAATGTATATTTGGCAGTAACAAATGTCAAGGTGTGGGGCATGAGTAATGCCAGCTGTGATGGTTAAGGTTATGTATCAAGTTGCCTGAGCTATGATTCTCAGTGGTTTGGCAGTTATGTAATGATGTGATCTGATGTGATCCTCCATGATTTTTGCATAATGCCCGTCTTTGCATAATGACCTGGTCTTTGGAACCTAACCATGTCGCTAAGTTAGGAGTCGATGTATATAAGAAATTTAGATCTTAGGCAGGAAAACAGTTAGGTTACAAGCTGAATATGCTAGACTAGTCTCTGTCTAGAAACCTTCACTCTACTTAGGGAAGAAGACCATTCACGAGAATCTCTCAGATTCCAAGTATAAAATCTTTAGCAAATAAGAGAAGTCACAAAAAGATGGATCAAATGAAGCCAACTGTTGTCCTAGCCTACCTTACCTTTACTCCTAATTATGCCCTATCAGGTCTTCTCAAACACTAAAGGGACTCGTAATGACATTTTCAAAACACAAATTCTTTTGATCCTATTCATGTGGTATTAGCTGTAGTGATGGCATTCTAGTGTAAAGCTGTAAAGTCAACTGTTTTGATGAAATTCATTATCTGAAATAGAGGTTGGCAGTATCCCAAGTAGGAGCTCTGGTGGTGCAGTGCCTAAGGCATATGACTGCCAGCCAGAAGGCTGGCGGTTCAAACCCACCAGCCACTCCTTGGAAAGAAGATTAGGCAATCTACTTCTGTAGTGATACTGCTTCGGAAACCCAAGGAGGGGTCGCTATGAGTCAGAAGCCAGCTTGACAGCAGTGGGTTAGTATCCCAAGTTGGGAGTCAAACTATATGGCCTTGTTTTTTTGTGTGTATGTGAACATAGGTTTCATTTCTATGGGGTAGGGACTAACAAACCACAGCCTTCAGGCTAAATCTGATCTTCTACTCTTTGGAAAAACAAGCACAGTCTTGCCCATTCATTTACACACTGTCTATGGTTGCTTTTAAGTAATAATAACAGAACTCAGTAATTGTGACAAAAACCTATGCCCTGCAAAGCCTAAAATACCGACTACCTACCTATTTGCAGAAGTTTGCCAACCCCTGCTCTGAGGTAATTACTCAGTAATGCTGGGCCATATGGTAAGTATATGTTTACATTTTTAAGAAATTGTCAAACCATTTTCCAGAGTGGCTGAAGCATTTTGCATTCCCACCAGAAATTTATGAGAGTTACAGTTGCTTTGCATCTGGGCTTTGGAGGTGGGGGACAACTCTGTCCGCACTTCAAATTGTCAATACTTTTTTTATTTTCACCATTCTAATAGTTGTGGTTGGATAGATGTATAGTGGTATCTCCCCGTGGTTTTAATTTGCATTTCTCTAATAACTGATGAAGGAGGTCTGGTAGCATAGTGCCTAAGGCACTTGACTTGACTGCTAACCAGAAGGCTGGCGGTTCAAACCCACCAGCCACTCCTCGGAAGGAAGATGGGGCAATCTACTTCCGTAGTGATACTGCCTCGGAAACCCAAGGAGGGGTCGCTATGAGTTGGGTCCGACTTGACGGCACATAACAACAACAACAACGACTGATGATATGAAAGATTTTTTTCATGTACTTATTTGCCCTCCTTACATTGTCTTTGGTGAAGTGTCCATTTTTTAAATTAAGTTGCTTGTTACCTCCATTCTGTTACTGGATTTATCCAGGGAAGTTTACTTCAGGTATTTTATTTTTCAGTTCTGAAACTTTCATTTGGTTCTTTTTAAGAAATTTTATTTTGTTATTGAGAATAACATGAAAAAACATACAACAATTCAAAGTTTCTACATGTACGATTCAGTGACAGAACTATGGCATTCTTGAAGATAGAAAAAACAGAAGCTTGGTTTTTGAAAAGCTTTCTCTAAACCACAGTGCTTGGTCAAAAAGGCTAAGGGGAAAAAAAAAGAGAAAAAAGAAAAAGCTAATATGGTAGTTAAGTTGTGTGTCAACTTGGTTGGGCCTGGTTTTGAGTGGCTGGGCAGTTGGATGTAGTCATTCCCCACGATGAGACTGGTAATCAGTTCCATGGTGGAATCTAATGGAGTAGCTAGCTGCCTTAGGGATGTAGTCTGCTTTTAATATATAAGCAGCAGCTCTGAGGAAGGTCTCTAGCTTTTGGCACACTTGGATCCTGCATGTAGTTGGCTGATCTTGGAACTATTAATGGATTTGAATTAGTAACCTGCTGTGTTGCTTGATAATTTTGGGACTGTGCCCTTTTACTTGTTAACTTGGGTTTGTCAGCCTCAGCAAGAGCCACCTCCAGCTCCAGTGGGCCGGGAGCAAGAGGCAGAGCTGAAGCCCAAGGTCAAGGGGCTTTCACCCACCGCCTAGAGCTGGCATTTTGAACTGGGACTTCTAGCATCCTAAAAGTTTATTGTAAGAGAATAAAATCCTGTTTGTTAAAGCCATCTACCTGTGGCATTTCTGTTAGAGTGGCATAAAGAACCAAAACAGCTAAAAAGTCACTGCCCCACAGTATTGCTAAACTAACAAATGAAGAGCTCGAAACTATTTCAGACTGTGGTCCTCCTCTCTTTTAGTGAATAAAAATGCTGATACCCCTGAGCCCTAGCTCCCTGGATGTTTATGGGTTGAAGAAAGTAAGAGAAGCAAACTCACCTAACATCTCTTCCTTTAGTTTTTCATTACGTTCTTCAATTTGCTTAGGTAATCTCTGAGGGAAAAAGAAGAGAAACAAGAATTGGTGAAAAACTTTTCTAGCTTTATTTTGAATTTGAGGAAAATTAATAACATAATGTGAAAGTGAGATCAGAAGGAGAGAGTGACACGTAATCCCATTTAAGTAAAAAAAAAGGTCAAGTATTTATGTTTGTGGTTGAGCGATATAAAATTAGATATTTTTAAAAAGATTAATAAATATAGATCTAAGAAAATGTTGGAAAGGATATGTACTTGATGTTTACCATGGTACCTCTGAGTGGTGGGATTATGGGTGATGTATTTATTTTTAATATATTTTGCTAATTTTTATCTTCTAACTCGAAGTCTCTTCTTTATAGACTCTAATTTGTTTAGAAGGGCTACATCAATCCTGAATGTTTCTAAACAATCATCTAGCTCAAGACTTAACTTCCCAGTGACATTTCAGGCTGGACAATGCTATGCTGTGGTGGTTGTGTGCATGGTAGGCTTTTTAGCAGCAGCCCCTCTACCTGTTGGATGCCAGAAATACCCTCTCACAGTTGTGATAATGAAAAATGTTTCCAGATATTGTCAAATGTCCCTAGGAACAAAAACTGGGGTTGAGAACCACTTACCTAGATTAGAGTCTCTGATGACCCCTTTAGCTCTGTAATTGGCCCCAAGTACTCTGGGATTACAGAAATAACTCATTTATATAAAAATTCTACAAAAATAATTTTTGCATATAGGTATAAAAGAAGATTAAAAGACTATCAGTCACAAGGTATCACTGGCAAGAATTATGTTTATAGAATACTGATATGGTATTTTTGTGAAATTTACCAAGTTATAATCCATTGAGAAAAATCAGATAATCATGCATTCTCCTGCAAAGAATCACAAAAGTTTACACACAGACAAATGCACACCGAGGAACATTTTACAAAATACCTAATCAGTCATCTTTAAAAGTATCACTTCTCTTAAAAAAGCATCAACTAAGGAGCATTATTCAGTCTTGCCATATGAAATTATCTGAGCCATCATTATGAAACAAAAGTGGCTGAATCACCTCTGGATAATAATGCTAGATACTCTCACTTTTAACTGTAAGAAAGAAAAACAACTCCAGGGGGAGAAAAACTAAGCTACAGGAATCTGGCTAAAGAACCAGAACATCAGTTTCAATGAATTCCCCGTGGTGTCTGCTCCTTTACTTGTCTCTTTAATAGCAAGGCTGGCAAGCAGTAGAAATCCCAGAAATGCTGCTTTTTCCCAACAGTTGCATTAGTTTTTTTTTTTTGCCTGAAGGAATCTTGAACAAAAAAGTTAGAAGGTATTGGTGCTATTCCATGAAGACTCAAGGAGAAATATGATTGATCAAATACAATAGCAGTAAGGGTCATCCAAGAATAAGCCCTGAGCTCAGACACAGAGCAGCAGGTGCAGAGCTGCAGCAAACTGGAGTATAAGCATTAAGCCACTTCATACCTAAAGGATACAGTCACGGACCACGTGAAAGGAAAATCTATTTGAGGCCCATCTTCCAAGAACACAGTCGGTAAAATAAATGGGCATAAAGAGAGTATCTATGGTGATGGAAGGGTTCCTCAGGCATAATTTGCCACAGGAAGTAAAAATAAGAAAAAACAAAACAGTTTGGAGTCAGCCCAGTGCAGAATATTAAGCTCTCATTTGTTTTAAGGGGGTGGCAAGGGTAGGAAAAGGTAAGAATGGTCAAGAAACCTAGAGTTGTTTTTTAGTGACTAACAGTGGAATACCGGACAACTCATACAACTTCCTAGGGCTTTCCAATCTCCCAAAGAGACTAGTTTATTGTCTGAACATCTTCCAATTTTGTTTGCCATGGGCAACAGTGTTGATGCCAAGAGTGACAATGGGGTAGCTGTTAGGGGGCAAAAGTAAGGTAAAGAAATGTAAAAGAGAAAAGGAGCCAATAAGATTTAAAGAAATTATGAACAGGCTCTGCTTCTAGTCACGATGAGAATCTACCAGGGTGACTCCCCTGTAGAAAGCAGCTATAAAATCTGGATGTTAAAACAACAACAACAACAAAAAAAAAACAACTACTTGAAGGCACTGGAGAATGAACAGAAGCTCAAACTCAAAATTCAACTGCCACTGAGTCGATTCGACTCATAGCAACCCGTCCTTGGGTTTCTGAGGTGGTATCGATACAGAAGTAGACTGCTCAACCTTCCTTCTGAGGAGCAGCTAGTGGGTTTGAACCTCCAGCCTTCTGGTTAGCAGTCAAATGTCTTAGGCACTACCAGAGTCTTATGTGAGTATACTCTTAGATGAAGGAAATTGCATGACATAAGTTTCCATTTTTGAGCCTCTGGGACAGGCACACTGGATATGGTGCACAAGGCATGGTCCTTGGTGGAAAAAATGTAGTCCTTCTAGCCTGAAGAGCCAAAGAACTGAATCTGGGGAAAATGGGGCCACTGGAGTGCATGTGGAGAATACTGGAAGGGAAAGAGTCAGAGAGGAGATTCCTAAATCCTGTCCATCCACATCTCTGACTGATGTGGAACAGATTCAAGCAGGTCAGCTAAAAAGAAAACATTATTAATAGTTCAAGTGCAATGACGGTTAATGGCTGCTAAGAACTAATACTCACTGGAGAGAAACAAAAGAACCCAGATTCTTCATAATTTAACATTCATAATGTCCAAGATAATTTCCAAAAAAAGAATGTGGAAATTATCTTTGACATTACAAAAAACAAAAACAAACTCACTGTCATTGAGTGGATTCCAACTCAGAGCAACCCCCACTGGGTTTCCAAGGCAGTAAATCTTTACAGAACTAGGTTACCTGATTTTCCTTCTGTGGAGCAGGTGGCAGGTTTGAACCACCAACCTTCTGGTTAGCAGTCAAATGCCTTAGGCACTGAGCCACCAGAGCTCCTGGACATTATAAATGCTAAATTATGAAGAATCTGGATTCTGTAATTTTTCTCCAGTATTTGTTCTTACCTTCACTGCACTTAAACTGTAACCTGGAATGTGGAAATTACTGAACAATAAATATCATTATCACATGCAAGTAAAATTTTGCTGAAGGTAAGTCAAAAATAGCTGTAGCAGTATACTGATAAGGAACTTCCAGAAATTCAAGCTGGCTTCAGAAGAGGATGTGGAACAAGGGATATCATTGCTGATGTGAGTGAGATGGATCTTAGCTGAAAGCAAAGAATACCACAAAGATGTCTACATGTATTTTATTGACTATGCAGAGGCATTCAAATGTGTGGACCATAACAGATTATGGGTAACATTGTTTAGAATGTGAATTCCAGAACACTTAATTGTGCTCATGAGGAACTTGTATATAGACCAAGAGCAGCTGGTTCACCAGAAGAAGGGAATACTGCATGCTTTAAAATTAGCCAAGGAGGGCATCAGGATTGTATCCTTTCACTATACTTATTCAATGTGTATACTGTAGTAAATAATCCAAGAAGCTGGACTATATGAAGAACCCAGCATCAGGACTGGAGGAAGACTCATTAACAATCTGCGACATGCAGATGAGCAAGCTTGCTCAAAGTGAAGATGACTTGAAGCCCTTACTGATGAAGATCAAACACTACAGTCTTCAGTACGGATTACACTTCAACATAAAGAAAACAAAAATCCTCACAACTGGACCAATAAGCAACATCACGATAAATGGAGAAAAGACTGAAGTTGTCAAAGATTTCATTTTACTTGGATCCACAATTAACACCCACGGAAGCAGCAGTCAAGAAATCAGATGTAGTATTTTGCACTGGGCAAGTCTGCTGCAAAAGACCTCTGTGAAGTATTGAAGAGCAACACTTCACTTCACTGTGAAGACTAAGATGTGTGTAACCCAAGCCATGGTATTTTCAATTGCTTCATATGCATGTGAAAGCTAGACAATGCATACTGAAAATACCAAGGACTGCCAGAAGAACAAACAAATCTGTGCTGGACGAAGTACAGCTAGAATGCTCCTTAGAAGTGAGAATGGGCAGACTTCGTCTCACCTACTTTGGTCATGTTGTCAGAAGGGACCATTCCCCAGAGAAGGATATCATGCTTGGTAAAGTGGAGGGTCAGAGCAAAAGGGGAAGGCCCTCAACAAGATGGACTGGCACAGTGGCTGCTACGATGGGCTGAAGCATAGCAAGGATTGTGAGGATACCATAGGACAGGGCAGTGTTTTCTTTTGTTGTACATAGGGTTATTATGAGTCAGAATCCACGTAATGGCACCTAACAACAATAACAACAACGATGTCCAGGATATAACCAAAATTACACAAAATACAAAGAAGCATGAAAATGGAACACATTCTCAAGAAAAAGAAAATCAACTGATAACAATCCCAAGATCATAAAAATGTTAAAATTAGCAAGATTTTAAAGTGGTTATTATAGCTATCCACAATGGAGTAAAACAAAACAAAACATGCTCCCAATAAACAATAAGAAATTAAATCAGAGAAATAAAAATAATAAAAAAGAAACAAATGGACATTCTGGAGATGAAAAATGCAGTATCAGAAATCAAAAACCCTAGAGCCTCAAAAACCTATTACCTAAAAAACCAAACCTATTGCCATCGAGTCAATTCCAACTAATAGTGACCACCACTGGATTTACAAGGCAATAAATCTTTACAGAAAAAGATTGCCCCATCTTCCTTCTGCCAAGAACCTATTAGACAATATCAAATGGTCTAACATACATAAAAATAGAGTTCCAGAAGTTAATCCTACCACTATTCAGAGAAAAAGTCTGATAAAAGATTAAAACTGGTTTCAAACTACTTATGTATTTTAATTATCTAAACCAGTCTGTCTCTCATTATTCCATTTGTAGATAAATAAAAGATGTTATTATTGAAGTATTCACCTGAAGCGTGCTTAAAAAAGAAAAATCATTTAGTAATGCAGAGAGAATATGGGAGCACTGGTGGTGTGGTGCCTAAGGCATTTGACTTGTTAAGCAGAAGACTGGCAGTTCAAACCCACCAGCCACTCCTCGGAAGGAAGACTGGGCAATCTACTTCCATAGACATACCGCCTTGGAAACTCAAGTGTTTTCTTCGCTCTGACTCGGAATTGACTCAATGGCAGTAAGTTTGTTGTTGTTGTTTTTTGGTAATGAAGAGAGATCCGTCAACATTTTCCAGATTTGCTCCAGAATAATAACCCCATGAAGCAAGTAAAAAATTTTGTACAGCAGGGGCTCAAAAACCCTCAAGGGCCAGATGGGAAATGTAAACAAGTAAAGAAACCGGTGTTAGAGGGCAGGAAGTAGTGAGGCCATTGTTGAAACTGAAGAGCTCTACTGAATACCAATGTACAGGGATTCAAGAAGGACTCAAGGTGCCTAAATCTTCCAACTTTCAGAGTCAGACCTGGATTCTTACAGTAAAATCTCATTTTAAAATGTTGAACCAGTGCTTCAATTGATAAAGTTTGGTTTAAATAAAAAATGCCTGAGCTTTCTTTTGCCTGGCTTTTAGTTGGTAATGTCCTTTGTATATTGGAGATTCATAATGGACTTCCTCATCCTAATGGCTCTTTGAAAAGTCTGGTAGCCAAGAAACCTGGTTACCTTGTCAAAACAAGTATTTCTCAAGCTTATTTGAACATCGATTACTTTTAGGCACTAACATATACACATTCAATTCTACTGTAGCACATATATTAGTAGCACCTTGCTCCATGCATTAGAGATAATCAAGAGTGGTGACAAAGGTAAAAGGACAAATCTGGAGTTAATCTTAAATGGGGGAAAAATCAATAGTATTTAGCTAATTTACAACTCAAATAAAAATAATAAGATTTAGAAGCAGAAGCACTGGTAGTGCCAAAGATAACAGTAAGAGACATTTTAAGAAAGTTAAGAAAATTAGTTTGGGAGATACTCAACTGCAATGGAAAAAACTGAGGATAATAGGCTAGGCATATGACAATGGAATAGAAAGTTATACTGATGAAAAGGAAGGAGGGAAAATCAGAACTTTATTACCTATAATACTATAATACTGTTTCTAAAGAAGCACTTTGGACTAAACTATATAATTCCAGTGGAAAAGATTTCCCTAATACAACAATGAAATTAAGTTCTTGTCAACCCCAGGAACTAAAAAGACTAATGTCAGTTTTAGAATGGATATTAAATTTAGTTATGTCTTAATTATTTAAAATTAACTGAGTAGCAATATAGGGAATAGAAGGGGAAAAAATGTGTATCTATTAATTCAAATTGTTCATGAACCAAGCATACATTACCTTTGAAAAATACTTCAATAGTGCTTTAAATTTGTTAGCAATGAATGAAGAAGAAGATTTGAACCACCATGCATGTTTCAGCAATCTCATTCATTAAATGAGAACATTAGTTGAAACTTTTGTTTCCATCCTGAATATTAATAAACTCTGGATGTAATTAATGATAATAAACCAAAACAACCAAACTCACTGCTTTCAAGTCGTTTCCAACTCATAGTGACCCCTCCTTGGGTTTCCGATCTAGTATCACTACAGAAGTAGACTGCCCAACTGGCTGGTGGGTTTGAACCACCAGCCTTCTGGTTAGCAGGCAAATGCCTTAGGCACTATGCCAACAAAGCTCCCAATAATAATAAAAGTATATATATTTCAGTTTACCATACAGGCTTCTCTTGCTTGATGTACTGATGGATCTTTTTCTAATACAGATTTATAGTCTTCCAAGGCTTCATCCAGCTTGTCTGTTTTCTCGTACAACTCTGCTCTTCTCAGTATTGCTCTTATATAGCTGGGGTTGAGCTGAATTGCTGCAGAAGGAAAAGAAATAATTGTTAGTCCGAAGAAAACGCCTCATACAACTTCAGCTACGTAAAACCTGTGTATCGATTATCCCTCAAGGGTGTGAAAGGAAGAATCATTTGTCAAAACTGACTATAACAGGTTTAGTATACCTAGTGTTGGCAAACTTTTCCTGTAAAAGCCAAGACAGTAGGCTCTGCAGGCCATATTATCTCTGTTACAACTACTAAATTCTATTGTAGCACAAAAGCAGCCATAGACTATACATTAACAAGGAAGTTTGGCTGTGTGCCAATGAAACTTTTTTTTAATGTACAGTGACATTTGAATTTCAGCTCATTTTCATGTTGTTGTTATTATTTTTTTCCTCCCATTTAAAAATGTCAATACCATTCTTAACTTGTAGGCTGTACAAAAACACATGGGTGGATTTCACCCATGGGCCCTAGTTTGCTGATGGCCGCTCTATATCCCAAGTCTTGACCTTTGCCCAGAGTATGTCATAACACATAGCTCAAGTGCATAGTGAAAGAGTGAGAGAGAATATGAAGGTGCAAACTCTGCTATCATTCGCTTTGTTCTATACCCTGACTACAACTCACTGCCGTAGAGTTGGTCCTGACTCATAGCGACCCCTCCTTGGGTTTCCGAGGTGGTATCTCTACAGAAGTAGATTGGCCAGTCTTCCTTCCGAGAAGTGGCTGGTGGGTTTGAACTGCCAGCCTTCTGGTTAGCAGTCAAATACCTCAGGCGCTATATATATAAAGCCTAGAGAGGTTATATTTTTAGCTAACTCACCTTTATGTTTCTTCAAATTACTTCTCCAGCACCATTAGGTCACTGAAGCATAGTATCTTTGCCTTTGTCGAGCAACAACCACTCTTCTAAAACTACTCGACATGTATTTTGATTAAAGTATATACCACATTCCCCTCAATCCTTTCTGAGTTGGTCCTTTTTCTGTTGAAAGCAGTGTCATGGCTCTAGAATGCTTTTTCTCTTCACATCATATATTTTTAATATTTATTTGATCATTCTTTCAGTGAGTATTTATGTAGTACCTAATATGTGTATCTAATGTAATGTATTGACAGAATACTCATTGAGATGTTTCAATAAACGGATGCTGCGCTGGAGGCACTCACTCGGTTATGCCAAGAGATTTGGAAGATAGCTACCTGGCCAACTGACTGGATGAGATCCATATTTATACCCATTTCAAAGAAAGGTGATCCCACAGAATGTGGAAATTATCGAACAATATCATTAATATCACACACAAGTAAAATCTTACTGAAGGTAATTCAAAAAGGACAGAGAACTTCCAGAAATGCAAGCTGGATTCAGAAGGGGATGTGGAGCAAGGGATATCATAAGTAATAAAAGATGGATTTTACCTCAAAGCAAAGAATACCAGAAAGATGTTTACTTGTGTTTTATTGACTATGCAAAGGCATTCAATTGTGTGGATCACAGCCAATTGTGCATAACATTGAGAATAATGGAAATTCCAGAACACTTAATTATACTTATGAGGAACCTGTACATAGACCAGGAGGCTGTTGTTCAAATAGAACAAGGAAACTGCATGGTGTAAAATCAGGAAGGGAGTGTGTCAGGGTTGTATCCTTTCACCACACCTATTCAATCTGTGTGCTGAGCAATTAATCTGAGAAGCTGAACTATATGAAGAAGAATGTGGCTTCAAGATTAGAGGAAGGCACAGTAAAAACCTGAGATAGGCAGATGACACAACTCTGCATGCTGAAAGTGAGGATGACTTGAAGCACTTACTGATGAAGATTAAAGACTACAGTCTGAAGTATGGATTATACCTCAATACAAAGAAAACAAAAATCCTCACAACTGGACCAATAAGCAGCATCATGATAAATAGAGAAGGGACTGAAGTTGTCCAAGACTTTATATTACTTGGTTCTACAACCAATGCTAATGGAAGCAACAGTCAAGACATCAGACGACATGTTGCATTGGGCAAATCTGCTGCAAAAGACCTCTTTCAAGTGCTGAAATGCAAAGATACCTCCTTGATGACTAAAGCCATGGTATTTTTCAATCGCCTCATATTCATGTGAAAGCTGGACACTGAATAAGGAAGACTGAAGAAGAGGTGATGCTTTTGAGTTGTAGTGCTGGCAAAGAATGCTGAAAGTACTGTGGACTGCTAAAAGAACTAATAAATCTGTCCTGGAGGAAGTGCAGCTGGGATGCTCCTCGGAAGCGAGAATGGCCAGACTTCATCTGACCTACTTTGGTCATGTTGTCAAAAGGGACCATTCTCTGGAGAAGGATGTCATGCTTGGTAAAGTGGAGGGTCAACGTAAAAGAGGAAGGTCTTCAACAAGATGGATTGACACAGTGGCTGCAATGATGGGCTAAGGTATAGTAGGGATCATGAGGCTTGCACAGGAGTGGGCAGTGTTTCATTCTGTTGTACATGAGGTCATTATGAGTCAGAGATGACTTGACGGACATAACAACAACAGTGTTAATGTATCTTTGGGGATACAGTGGTAAACAAGACAGACCTGGTCCTTGTTCTCATGAAGCTCTTATCCCAGTAAGAGGTAAGAGTTTTAGATATTAACAGATAGATATTAGATATTAACAGTAGTATGAAGGAAAACAAAATAATGACATGTGATTGCAAGTGAAGGGAGAATGAGGCAACTTCAGAGAGTAGTCAGAAAATATGAAGAGGGACCATTTGAGGGAGGCTAGCCATTTGAAAGGATGAGGAAGAATGTACAGAGGACTAAAAAGTGTAAAGGTGCTAAAGCAAGAATAACCTTGGCATGTGAGTACCTACATTAGACATAGGGAACAGATGAGGGTGAGGATATAGGTAAGGCTCAGATCATGCAGGGTGTTGCTGGCCAGGAAAGAGTTTAGATTTTTCCTTAAGTGAGATGAAAACCCATTGGAGGGGTTTCAAGCAGGCTAAAGATATAATCTGATTGATATATTTAAAGGATCACTTTGGCTGCAATACAGGGGGCAAGACTGCAAGCTGAGAGACCTTCTAACTAGAAGGTTACCGCTGTGGTATAGATGAAGATGATGTCGGTTTGCTCTAAGCTAGTAATAGTGCAGATGGAGAGAAGGGGTCTGATTAGGTACATGTTTCTAAATTAGAGTCCACAGGACTTGCTAATTAATTAGCCTTTTGGAATGAAAGAAAGAGCAAACAGGGATGACCCCAAGGGTTTTTAGCTTAAGCAAATGAATGGACAATGATGCCATTTATTAGAATGTAAAAAACTGAGGGAAATCCAAGTTGTGTGTATGTATGGGGGGGTGAAGAGGTACCACATTTCTGAAATTTGAGGTGCCTTCCAGACTTTCTAAGAAGAGACACCAAGATTGCAGTAAGATACAGGACTCTGCTATAGTGGAGAAGTCAGAGCTTTATATATAAATACCAGCAATGTGGATGGTGCGTAAAGCTTCAGAACTGGATGAGATCACTTATGGAAAAAACAAAGAGAAAAAAAGAAGTCTCCATGTAGGACTAAGACCTGGGGACTTCTAACACGTTCAGATGAACAGAACTAGCCAGCAAAGGAGAATAAAAAGAAACAGCCAACAAAGCAGGACGAAACCAAAACATATATAAGAACAAGCAGAGTATGGTATAACCAAATTCAAGAGAAAACATTTTCAAGAAGGAAGGAATGATAAAATGGATTAAATGTTTTTAAGTGGTCAAGTAAGGCAAGGATAGGGAAGCAACTACTGAATTGGGCAACATGAAGTTGCTGCTGATCATAAGATCTGTTTCTTTGGCATGGATGGAACAGAAGCCTAATAGATGTGGGGGGAGGAGAGGAAGGGAGAAGACAAAGCACAGAACGCAGGTATAGATCCTTCTTTCAGTAAGCTTTACTGTAAAGGAATCAGAAAAATGGTACTGTAATCTGCAGGGAATACTGGGTAAGGAAATGGTTTTCTGAAAGATCCCAAACCTCTTGACAATTCAGCTTTATGGGCTCTGTCTGCCAAAGCCCCTTTGAGCAGATCACAACCTCTTATAATATTCCCAATTAGGGAATATTCCCAATTTACAATATTCCCAGTTAGGATATCACAAAATCCAAGGGGAAAACATTCCAATGATCTCTACTACATCTTTTTAAAAACTGCAATTTCCTAATTTATATTTAACCCAGATACCTCCACCTTCCCAAATAGTGGAGAGCTTCTAAATGTGCCAATATCTACTGAAGAGAAGGATTTTTTTCCATTATTTTATTAAAAACTTCTAAAATAACATAGCAATCGAACATGTTATTTTATTTTCCAATCTATATAAAGAGAATGAATTTAAACTTTCTTTATGACAAGGTTGAAAACACTCAGGTGACTGGCATTAAATACTGTAGTGGTTAATGCATTTGGTTGTTAACCAAAAGCAGTTCAAATCCACTAGCTGCTCCACAGTAGAAAGATGAGATAGTCTGCTTCCATAAAGATTTACAGCCTTGGAAACCCTATCGGGCAGTCCTACTTGGTCCTACAGGGTCACTCTAGGGTTGATTCAATGGCATTGGGTTTTCTGGATTATGACTGGAAATAATGAACTCAAATATGACCCCAGATATAAGCTGGTAAGTCCTTTCCAAGAAGATTTATGAACAGGATGTGTGTGTGTGCTACTTAACGCAAATAAACCATACTAATGTCAACTTAAGTAGCCCTGGTGGCAAAGTGTGATAAAGTGCTTGGCAACTAACTGGAAGGTTAGTGGTTTGAACCCACCAGACATTGAACCAGGAAAAAGATGTGGCAGTTGCTTCAGTAAAGATTTCAGTCTATAAAACCCTATGGGGCTGTTCTACTCTGTTCTGTTGGTTGTTATCAGTCAGAATTGACTTGACAGTAGTGGGCTACTCGGATAATGTCAATATACTATGCTCTCGTAATACCTAATGCCTAAGGCATCTGACTGATAACCAGAAGGCTGGCAGTTCAAACCCACCAGCCACTTCTTGGAAGGAAGGTTGGGCAATCTACTTCCATAGTGATACCAACTCGGAAACCCAAGGAGGGTTCATTGTGAGTCGGATCCAACTCGACGGCATTGAATTTTGGTTTGGTTTTTTCGGGTACAATGCATGTTGCCTTGTCATGAGTATGCTTAAGTAAATAAATATATGATTTAAGCAGGTCCAGAAACAAATTTGAAAAACATTTCCCAAGTATTCCCCTTCCTTTCATTTTCTTGGCAAGGCTTCCTACACTTAAGGCAACAGCTGGAAATGAACTGTTTCCTAATCTGTACTAATCAAACTTACAAGGCACTTTCTCACCATTTGGTTGTAAGGAAAGAAGCTCTGAAAATCAGCAGCTTTTCCTAATTTAAACTCACATACCTCACATAGAAGAGATAGGTTAAACACTTTCTTCTTAAACAAAACAGTATGTTCAGAACCAGTTCCAGTGCAAGATGGTAATAGGTCAAAAGTAGTTTGCTAGATTTTGATGTAGCCAACAATTTCATTCAGATACTATAAAGAAATTCTAAATATAAAAAAAGAGAAAGCCAGCAGAGAAGGCACTAAATTAATACAAAGGAAAAAATATGAGAGAGGATTCATGCTCAGTGTGAGAGAGGAAGACTAGGTAACATATAAGGCCTCTTCTAACTCTAGAATTCTCTCAGAGACTAACCAAAGAATGAAAACAGAAAAAATACAAACAAAACAAAACAAAAACTAGTGAGTAAAACTAATGAGAGTAGTAAGATAGCAAGGAAATGTCATTGTGTGTCTTCTCCACACCAAGTTGGTTAGAAAGGCAGGACAACTATATGGCCTGTCAGGAAATTTTGGAAAAAACAAAAAACAATACTGATCCTGCATCTAGGGGTGATGCTTTATAAGTTGATAGGATGAAAAGACCTTAATGAAACTCGAATGTCAGATAGCAAATGCTTAATTAATTGTGTAGAATCTGAAAGAATAATCAAAACAATGGAAAGTAGGTATGAAAAAATTATTACATCTGAAGAGTCTGCCACTTCATTAAGAGAAAGTATCCCTCACGATAGCGGCTTCCATGTGCAAACACACAGATCCAGATGCTCAAATAGCAGCTGAGATCTCCCATCTGAATCTCAAAGAGAAGAAAGGCTACAGAAGTAAATTAATTCTATGAGTATCTTTTGCCCAAGTGGCTTTGAATTTTTCATCACGTATTTATTAATATAGGAGAAACTGAATGAACTATTCATTCAAAAGCATGCTTACAATAAGATGACTACTCTAAGATCTCTGGAAATGGTGAAATCTAAACCTCTTCTTTATAGGCCCCAGAGGAAGGGTACACATACATGTATGAGTTCATGAAAAATCTATCAGTCTGTCTAGCACAGGTAATGTTCTTGTATGTCAACATGTAAGAAGACAAAGAAAGTTGTACCTTTGCTGCAGTCACTGACAGCCATCTCTTTCTTGTCCTAAAAGGAAATACAACATTAGTATGTGTCACCCTGGCTCTGTCTTTAGTGGCCCAAAGGCTCAATGACATGAGCTTACCGTTAGTAACTATTTATGGAGATGCAGACTGCTCTTCAAATAGATCACAAGAAAACATGCATGTTTCTTTCAAGCTAGAACTCAAAATTACACAGGGACAGCTCTGACTGGAAAATCTCCTGGTAACAAATTATCTTAAGTTGCTTCTTTCCTAAAGTATCTCTAAAAATTGTTGTAGTTAACCAGTTGCATTTGTGAGACACATCAGAATGTTGAGATTTAGAAAACTTTTGATTAATAAGCAAGGGAAATGACTGATCTACGAATAAATCAACTAATTAGTCTTGTCTTTAGTTACTTGTAAGGTGTCTTTGTGATGCTCAGCTGCTAACCAGAAGGTTCATGGTTCGAATCTACCAGTGCTCCATAGGAGAAAGATGTGGCAGTTTGCTTCTGTAAAAATTTACAGCTTTAGAAGGCCTGTAGGGCAGTTCTACTCTGTCCCATAGGGTCGCTATGAGTCAGAACTCATTCAATGGCAAGCTGGGTTTGGGTTTGATTTTGGTTCATTGTTATACTACATCACACTCAAAATGGTATCTCCCAGAAAGTAAATAGATGGTCCATGTACTAACACATGTAGTGTGGCTGGTTATGTAGTCTTAGTTATAAACCTTAATTTATAACCACCGATGAAGCAAAACTACAAAACAATTTATCAAATAAAATATCTGCTAAATAATTTGCTGAACCTAGACACCTAACAAATACTGGATGTTAAAAGAATGGAATCCTAGTCCCAGTTGGATACTAACTTGCTGTTTAACTTGGCTGTGCTACTTTCTTTCTCTTGGGTTCAATTTCTCATCTAAAATATGAGGAGGCTAGGTGGAATGCTATATGTCTTCCAGCCCTAAAATGTCTATCTTCCCCAAATAAGGAGTTTTATACAAACTTACAGAAATAAATTTGTTCAAATCTGTGTTCAATATTCCCAAAATTCCTGCTATAGCAAATACTAAGTATTTTGCAGACTGTTTCAGAGCACTGTCTGCCTAATTGAGTTTCAAGATTTAATAAAAAATGGTTCTAGGATCAAGTCTAGGAAGCACTAATTCTACCATATCTCTCACAATGCTCATCACATTAATTCACACATTAAGAAGTCATGTAATAATGAAATCTATATAACTTTGTGTTATGGTGGTGTTTTTCAACTTAGCAGATTTCCATAAATCTAAGATATATTTTTGTATTTTAAAGTTTCTGAAATAGGAATGCATTGTTACAATTCACAAGTACAACTGTTGTGCTGTTATTTTTTGTGCCCTAGAAGCTGTTACTAAGTTGTAGTGCATCTTATCAACTGGCCTCTTTAGATCAAGAAATGATGGTATTTTACTGCAGAATCCTATGTTTAAGAATCACCTATTAACACCTTACAGGACCCAGGTGTTGTCTGTCATTAGAATAGTAGTCTCCAAGTGGTGTAAAAAATAATTTAGAACTTATTCGCCATCCTTTTATTATATGTGTGTGTGTGTGTGTGTATGCATAGAAGTATAAAATGTATGTGCCAACTTTTGGGCTAGCAGTTGAGTGTAAACAGGCACACATACACGCACAGGCACACATACAATGGCATAATGTATAAGGGTGGCATAATGCATATACAGTAAAATTTGTGAAAGATGGAACCTGTGTGAAGCAGAAACCTGTCAGAGAAGGAAAATGCACATATTTTCCAGTACAATGAGTGACAGAAAAGTGTAAGACTGCACCCTGTCAAAGGTAGAAAACCTGTGAGACCTGGAAATACAAGGCAGTCCCACCAAATTTCAGTTCTCACAGGTTTCACTGTAAAGACATTTGGAGTCTACTCTGTTAGGGGTGTCTGCTCTTCTGTAGCCAGACCCAGAGGTAACACTCCCCAGTAACTCCAGTTTGCCTTCTGTCTCTCCAGAGAAGAAATGTAAAACTTGGCCAGGGGCCCTCAGTCAGGGGTACAGAGCCTGTAAACCTGCCTTTCAGAAATTCTACCTCTTCATTCATCACTCTCTTGAAAAACTCAGAATATGCTCCCTAAATTGCATTAGGGCATTAATCTTAGAAACTTTCAAGTCTCCAATTTTATAGTCTTCTTAAAGTATTAAGAGTATAACATAGAAAAACAAAACAAAATAAAAAATCCCATTAACAGACCTATCCTCATATAGGAACTAGAGCCTGTGGGGTATCCAGTGAAGCAAGCCAGAGAGGCTGCATGTGCTTTCCTCTAGGCAACCTCAAGAAAGACCCGATGCTGCCATGAAAAATGGCTCTCTTAAGTTAGGGAGATTATTTCCCTAACAATTACAAAAATAGGTCTTGGGAACTGAGATTTGAGATGGTTAAGTTTCACATAATATCCTCTCAAAAATACAAAAGAAGAACAAACCCAAGCCCTAAGCTCAGGAGCTATAGGAAGAGTGTACCTTCCTCCCAACTACTCTATCTATAGATCAGTAGTTTTCAATTGCCTCCAGCAGTGGGAACTTGGCCTCTTGTCTGCCACAAGCACTTGTTTCCTAACTGCCAGAGGACAGCATGCACAGTATTATGGTAATTACCCTAAGAATGACAACATACTTTCTCATGAGAGAATTAAGTTACAGTTACCTCTGGGAATTTCCCATACCTCAATGGCCTTTCCTTTCTATGACAGTCTGCCCCATGGAAGAGTGTTGCCCATAAGAATGTCATGAATGTGTAAGGAAAAAAGGATCCAGTAAGAAAACTGCCATGAATTTAAAAATTAAAAAAAAAAAAGAAAGAAAGAAATTGTTTTTCTTAAAGCCTAGGTATTCTGAGGACAGAGAACAAAAAAGAAGCCTTTCTAAACAAGGGCTTTACAAATATAACATTTTTTTCTAAAAATCTAATGTTAGCTGACAATTAGATGGTTTGAAAGAAGATCATTTTGAGAAGGGCTACAAATAGGGGATTATGAGTTTC